TTGTAGTGACTGGGCTATGTTGCTCAAGCTGGTCTTGAACTCCTGGCCACAAGTGATCCTTCCACCTCCAGACCGCCCAAAGCCCAAAGTGCTGGGATTACTGTTCTGAACCACTGTGTCTGGCCCTGCTTTCTTTAACATAAAATCAATAGCAGTTCTTATGGTATTGGAAAATCATAAAAATGTTTAGTTCATGACAGCTATGCTATTTTATTTTATTGCCAAATCCCTAGTAGAGGATAGGAAAGTTTTCATTTTTTTACAAGTTTTATTGTACCACACTATTTTCTGATTCACTTTGGTAGTTCTGTACTCTTTTCTCTCTCTTTTTTTTAAATTTAATCATAACTGTGTACCTTTATGGAGTACACTGTGCTGATTTGCTATATCTAGAGAGTGACTCGCGTCTTCTTTGAGTAACAGTATAGTCACAATCCTGCTTGTTCAAGTGATCTGGCACATGGAGAGCAAGGGATCCAGATTCAGACACCTGGATTTTGCTTCTGGCTCTGCCGCTCCCTAGCTGTGTGACTTTGCCTACAGAGTTCCTTAACTTTCCTGAAACCCAATTTTCTGATGAATAAAGTTTATTCATGGGACTACTGTGAAGATTCAGGAAATTAATTATATAAACAGCATGGTGATTGGCACAAGAGAAATGTTCAACAACTATTAGCTAATTTTTGCTGTTATTATGTTGTTTATTTTTATTCTAGTAAATTCTAAAGGAAACCTATGGTAGCTTAGCTTTCTACTTTCAACAGATATTTAATTTTCAATTTTTTTCTGTTTTGAGACAAGAGTCTCACTATATTGCCTAGGCTAGAGTACCATGGCTTCAGCTTAACTCATAGCAACCGCAAACTCCTGGGCTCAAACAATCCTCCTGCCTCAGCCTCCTGAATAGCTGGGTCTACAGATGTCTACCACAATACCTACCTAATTTTTTCTATTTTTAGTAGAGATGGGGTCTTGCTTAAGGCATCCTCCTGCCTCGGCTTCCCAGAATGCTAGGATTATAAGCCTGAGCCACCATACCTAGCATTAATTTTCAATTTTTCTTAAAGCAGTAAATAGTTTTGAATTAGGATCCTAGTACATATGTGTTTTATGGAGTGACAGAAATTTAGAAGGACATAATGTGCTTTAAACATTCAGTTTTATATTTTATATTAAAACACACATACTGTTTATATCTAGCCCAAGGCTTCTTTCTTGTAGAGGTGTCGCAGAGTAGTGAGTTTCAAAGTTCTAGGGAAAATAAGAAAAAAGTGAATGTTTTACTGATTTAGTAAATCTTGAAGTATAGGTGTTAACTGGTTTTAGTATGTGTAAGTACTATATATAGTACTTACAGCCAAATCTATATATTTTTTTCCAATAAAGAGACATTTGAGATGATATCCTTCCTGGCTGAGTTGGGTTTTTCTCTAGAGCAAGGGATCAAGATTCAGAAACCTGGATTTCACTTCTGGCTATGCCATACCCTAGCTATGTGACTTTGCCTATTGACAGGAGACTGCTGGACCTGAACCATGGCTGTTTTGTTTAAAGAACTCTCTACTTTTTTTTTTCTTTTCTTTTTTTGAGACAGAGTTTCACTATGTCACCCTTAGTAGAGTGCCATGGCATCACAGCTCACAGCAACCTCAAACTCTTGGGCTCAAGCCATCCTCTTGCCTCAGCCTCCCAAGTAGCTGGGACTACAGGCATCGGCCACAAAGCCCAGCTAATTTTTCTATTTTTAGTAGAGATGGGTCTCACTCTTGCTCAAGTTGGTCTTGAACTCCTGAGCTCAAGCAATCCTCCCGCCTAGGCCTCCCAGAGTGCTGGGATTACAGTTGTGAGCCACTGCCACACCTGGCCAAGATAGATCCATTCGGTCATTACAGAGAGACAATACATTCAAATATTTGAACAAATAAATAAATTGTGGGACTTAATAAACCAGTGCTCTCCCCTTTAATTCTAACTGCTATATCACCTGCTTGACTGATGGAACAAAATAATTAATTATACTTCTCTATTGCAGAATAGACTAATATATTTAGCTTCAAAACATAGTGCCAAGTCATTCTAATGATAAAATAAATACTGATTGAAATAGCTGACTTGGAAACTGGCATCTGTAACATGGACTCCAGTGAGTAATCAGTGGTATAAAACACAACCCAATAAGATAAAGGTAATGTTGAAAACTTGTTTCCTTTCTTATTCACTCAGGGAAAGTTTTCTCCCAACAGTAATATCAAAAGTGATCTCCTTCTGCTGGAGGTGGAATTTCTCACCTGCTAGCTTCTAACTCCTGAGTAAAAGAGAAAGGAAGATTTAACTGGAAGGAGAGTCACTGATTGGCTCACCTGATTATACTGCTTGAAAACTATAGCCTTAAGAGAGTCCAGGTATCGGCTTCTCAGGTCCATTTTCGTAATCTGGTGGTGTTTGCTAGCAATCATTAGTGCCTGGAAATGAAAATTAGTAAGACTATTATTAGGATTTCTGTCTGTGTTTATGATATTGAATATTTGTCAAAGTAAAATGTAGGAGCTATGATCAGTGAATAGTTTCCACTTAAGTGTGAAAAGAAATCCAGAAAAATTTAATTTTATACACTGTTACTCAGCTTCAAAAACAGAAACGTGGTTAAAGACATTAAGTCTCAGCTGGGCATAGTGGTACAGGCCTGTAGTCCCACCTACGCTGGAGGCTTAGGCAAGAGGATCGCTTGAGCCCAAGAGTTTGAGGTTGCTGTGAGCTATGATACTACCCAGGGTGACAGAGTGAAACTGTCTTAAAAAAAAAAAAAAGGGCATTTAGTCTCATAAATGTAGTGTTTTGTACCTTTTTTAGAAAAATGATTCTGTTTCAAGTTAGGAGTTACAATAAATCAAGTTCAGATTTAGGAATAAACAATGAATACTCAAAATGTTACTATTTTAGAATACCATTCATCTAATACTATAATGAAACTTACCACACAAATATACAATATGTATATATCCTTTAGGGCAAATATTGAAGAAAAATGAATGTCTGTATTAATGTGATTTATGAAAACTTCCGGTTATTTGGGAAACTAATTAGAACACTGAAACAGAATAACTAGAATAAGATATTTACTTGGATCTAGAAAGTAGAGGTAAGTTGCCATAACACAGTAGGAATTAACATTACCTTTACGTAAACTACCTGTGGCAGGGTGTACTCAGCTGGTAGTAAGTGGATGAAAGACACTGTGTGTTATGAAGGAAGAGACCCCAAATGTAAAGAAGTAGTGTTAAAGCTTGGTGCCTATAGCTCAAGTGGCTAAGGCGCCAGCCACATACACCAGAGCTGGTGGGTTCAAATCCAGCCCGGGCCTGCCAAACAATAATGACAACTACAACCAAAAACTAGCTGGGCATTGTGGCAGGTGCTTGTAGTCCCAGCTACATGGGAGGCTGAGGCAAGAGAATCACTTAAGCCCAGGAGTTGGAAGATGCTATGAGCTGTGATGCCACGGCACTCTACCCAGGGTGACAGCTTTAGGCTCTGTCTCAAAAAAAAAAAAAAAAAGTGGTATTAAGTGTTAAAGGGACAGAGAAGTGAGCAGCAGTCTTTGTGACATTTCAGTAAACCACCAAGGAACTTAATAAGTGAACACCCGCAGGACCCTATAGCTCACTTGGTTCCAACACTGCAGTGCCTACTGCTCCACCCAGCTCTACTAGACACAGAAGTATACAGATGATAAGCCAGGGTGGCAGAGGTGCCCCACAAGTAGCAAAGTGCTAGCTCTGGAACCAATTTAAGGATGGCTTATTTTGGGGAAAGAAGTCCGGAAGCCCGGGACCCCAAAGACAGAACCACGAAGGGAGAAGCAGGCTTTGGACAGTGGCTGCAAGTTTCTTTTTTGGCACAGGGGACAGAGTCTGACTCTATAGTCCTGGGTAGAGTGCCTCAGTGTCAGCCTCGCTCACAGCAACCTCAAACTCCTGGGCTCAAGCAATCCTCTTCTTGCCTTAGGCCCCCCAGTAGCTGGGACCACAGGCATGTGCCATCATGCCTGGCTAATGGATGCACTTTTTAGATTTAGCATGCATTACTCATAGATTAAAAGACAATAAAGAACAGTTACAAACTAGTACCGTATACCAGATTCCCAACTGCAGATAACAACATTCCCTGCTTCATATTTTAGGACAATAAGAATTAAAAATTAAATGTAATATTCTGTATCAAACATTTATTGAGCAGTTTAAACCTACATAGACCTTTCAGATACGGATAATAAAATAGTATAGTTTATAATAATTGTTCATACCTGCCCCAGAAGGGGTACATTGCGCTTTAAAGTGGAGATAGAAGCAAAGGCATAAGGAGTCTGGGAATGATACACCACGTAGGTGGGTCTGTACTGGTTTGGCTTTGTGTACTGCGTTCCCCAGGCGATTCGAATCCAGACTGCATTGTCCTCAGTGTCTCGGAAGCTGACTGTCACCTTATGAGAAAAGATTTAAGTTTCCTAATTAATATCTCATCGTGGCACCAATCTTTTTTCCTTTTTTTTTGAGACAGGGTCTTGCTTTATTACCTTGATTAGAGTGTAGTGATGTCATCATAGCTCACAACAACTTCAAACTCCTAGGCTCAAGTGATCCTCCTGTCTCAGCCTCTTGAGTAGCTGGGACTGCAAATGTGTGTCACTATGCTTGGCTAATTTTTTGTAAGTTTTGTACAGAATCTTGCTACATTGCCTGGGCTAGTCCCAAACTTTTGAGCTCAAGTGATCTTCCTGCCTCAGCCTCCTTGAGTTCTCGGATTATAGGTGTGAGCTACTGTGCCAGGTCAGAAAATTATTTTTTAAGAAGCACTATCAGAGACTGGGTGCAGCGGCTCACGCCTGTAATCCTAGCACTCTGGGAAGCTGAGGTGGGTGGATCGCCTGAGCTCAGGAGTTCGAGACCAGCCTGAGCAATGGCAAGACCCTGTCTCTTAAAATATCATGCATTGTGGCAGGCACCTGTAGTCCTAGCTACTGGGGAGGCTGACGCAAGAGGATCACTTGGGTCCAGGAATTGGAGGTTGCTGTGAGCTAGGCTGACGCTACGGCGCTCTACCGAGGGTGAAAGTGAGACTCTGTCCCCCCCCACCAAAAAAAAAAAGAAGCAACAGCTACAAGCAGGGTATGACATCAACATTTTTCAATAATTGCTTTGGGCTTGTCCTGAAAACTGTTCATCCTCTTGTAAGAGATTATGCAGTGAGGCAGCCGTACAAATGAGGTATCTGTTTTATAATGAAGCCTTCTTAGCATTTAGTACAGACCTAGCGTGCACCATAAAGTTTAACAGTGAGGCTTCTATGTAGTAATTGGCTTAAAAATATACTAACACCAGCGCTTTTATGCATTTAGCTCAGAGCCTAAAAATTACTTTCAAGGATTATGTGGTGAGAATACAGGAAGTTTTATTTAATTTTGTTTCCATTTCATGGATGAAATATAGGCCTTCAAAACTTTTAAATAAGATTGCCAGTTGGTCTGGAATTGAATAGCCTGGTCCTAGATCATCAGCTCACCCATGATTCACCTTCCCCTTTGGAGCTCTGACCTGGCAAAGGAGGAACTTGAGACAGGTGTGTATGGCTTGCCCATGTCTCTTTACTCCAGAAAAAGTGGGTTGTTATGGTGGCTGCTGGCACCAGCAAACCCTGCTGATTTTTTTTTTTTTT